GGCATATGGGGCCGGTGCCCTACCCTTTTTGAGCCACAGGCGCCGCCCGCAAAATTTATATTTTTGAAGTTGGAGAGGCATCATTTGTCATCTAGCATAAATCTTTCATTTCAAATTTCAAGATACTAAACTGCATGGGACATAGAAGTTTATTTCTTCTGAGATACCCAGATCATTAGTGGAAGGAGAGCTTTGAACCAAGTCCTTCCAATCCCCAGGCATTAGACCACAAAACACACTGGCTTTTGATTTTACCTGAGTATTTGGAAGTACCCGTACTCTTTCTATGGATGATGGAAATATACTTTCCATGTGCTTTCCTGCATATGTAGGCTCAAAACTCACAAGCCTACTCCGGATTTGCTCTTCATATGAAATTCATCATTTTTTAAAATCTCTTCATATCCCATCTTTTTGTTCTACTTCTACGTCTGCAAAATTAATCTGAGGAATTGCCACCACCCCATTATTTTTCTTGCCATATATTTCTGAGCTCTGTACGTCTCCCTACATAGTGCCATCAGGTAGCTTTCGTGAAATAATATATTGGTTATATAATCTCCCAATCTTTCAAAATGTCAGGGAAATGCCTTTCCCATGTTATACAGAGGAGCGAATCGCCTTAGATTTCTAAACGAAGTTTCTCCAACATTTTCAACCATCTATTCAACCGTCATATTTCATTTTGACTGAAATATGCCTTGTGAAATACTAATTGTTTGCTTTTACTCTTTCAACCACGTATACCAAACCTTTTTTTCTTCTAATCAAGCCGCACATGATGCTATATCCTTTTCTCTTGTATTCCCTAGGAATTGTAGTCAGGTCAATATTTATTAACTCCACAAACAATATTTACAAACTGCCACCTGTATAATTTGTATTGTGTTAGACTTTTGAGATACAGCAATAATCAAGAGAGGCACATCCAGGCTCAGTGCCTGTAGCTCAGCGGCTAGGGCGCCAGCCCCGAGCACTGAAGCTAGTGAGTTTGAATCCAGCCCAGGCCTGCCAAAGAATAATGACAAACGCAACCGAAAAATAGCTGAGCATTGTGGCAGGAGCCTGTAATCCCAGCTACTTGGGAGATTGAGGCAAGAGAGTTGCTTAAGCCCAAGAGTTTGAGGTTGCTGTCAGCTGTGATGCCATGGCACTCTCCCCAGGGTGACAGCTTGAGACTG